AATCGTATTGTTTTAGGCAATGTTCGGCGTTTCGTTTAACCGTTGCCGTTTTATACGATTTCCTCGAGTCGTTTCCGAGAAAACAAAGTTTTACGGTTTTTATCGTAAAACTCGAACGGTAAGTCGGATCGAGATGGAACGAGAGATATTTCGACCGTGATTTAGAACGCGACCTTGTCGAAAGACGTAAGTTTCGAATCGGGAATGCGGAAATCGAGACGCGGAGTGTTCGGGAAGTTTCTTAGATCGCCCATCGGCGATCTAAGCCGGGCCCGGCTTAGATCGCCGATGGGCGATCTAGAGAGTGTTTCTTAGATCGCCCATCGACGATCTAAGCCGGGTTCGGCTTAGATCGCCGGTGGGCGAACTAGTTGCGACTAGTTCGCGTTTTACGGCTTTTTCGGTTTTTTGCGGTTTTGTAAAACGATTCTCAAATTTTATAAAACGATCTTCGGATTTCATAAAACGACTTTTCAGTTTTATAAAAACGACCTTCGAGTTTTATAAAATGATTCTCGAGTTTTATNTAGTTCGCGTTTTACGGCTTTTTCGGTTTTTTGCGGTTTTGTAAAACGATTCTCAAATTTTATAAAACGATCTTCGGATTTCATAAAACGACTTTTCAGTTTTATAAAAACGACCTTCGAGTTTTATAAAATGATTCTCGAGTTTTATAAAGCGATTCTCGAGTTTTATAAAACGATTCTCGAGTTTTATAAAACGATCTTCGAGTTTTCTAAAACGATTCTCGAGTTTTATAAAATGATTCTCGAGTTTTATAAAACGATTCTTGAGTTTTATAAAACGATTCTCGAGTTTGATAAAATCACTTTTGCGGAAAGTAATGATCTCTCTTTTACAGAAGCTATCGCGGACGTTGATTTCGAGAGTACGGTTTTTGACACCAACATGCCACACACGTCTCTGTCGAGAAGGAACATGTCGAAACCGCGAAAAGACAAGCAAGTGGCGATCGATGATGGTTCACCTGATCCCGCTGATTCTTCTGAAAATATACTTAGAGATTTTCTTGCAAGCCAGGTGTGCACGGGCGCCGGGGCGTATGCTGGTCAATCGTCAACTGCTAACTTCTCGGACGGCGATTCTGGTTATGTTCCAGAGTTTGCCAAAGCGTCCGAGCAAGCTAATCAGGTATGTTTTATTTTTCGATGGCTCATGATCGAAAAGTTTCACTTATTCCTTTTCTTTTTGCAGGGCCTCCTGATCATGAGCCAAGCTCTGAATGATCGTAATTCCGCAGCCCGTATCACCGAGTTTCGTGCATACGCGGCGGAAAAAGAAGTCGCTCGTCTTCGAGTGGAGGCTGATGCCAACCCTTTTAACGTTGATGAATGGGTTGAAAGGGAGGTTGATCGCGTGCGGAATGAATGCGCGGCTGACTCTCGTCGTGCTGAGGAATTTTCCAGTCAGAGAATTCGTCGTGCTAACCGAGCGGGAAGGAGAGAGATTGCTGAAGAAGTAAAGGTTCGTCGCGAACGGTTCGCGGCCTGCTACTCGGATATTGAGTCTGCTCATCGAGCTAATGGAAAATTTCTTGAGTCTCGCGGTGTGGTTCATGGGTTGTCCCCAACTCAAAATGAGTGTACTCGTTCACTGAAGTGTATCAGGAGCGATTGGGTGTTTTAGCTAAGAAGAGAGACATGCAATCCGAACTTCTCGATTTTAGGGCGCGAATGTGGGATCAATGGAATCGACGAACGGTTCGCGGCCTGCTACTCGGATATTGAGTCTTCTCATTGAGCTAATGGCAACTTTCTTGAGTCTCGCGGTGTGGTTCATGGGTTGTCCCTTACTCCAAATGAGTGTACTCGTTCACTGAAGTGTATCAGGAGCAATTGGGTCTTTTAGCTAAGAAGAGAGACATGCAATCCGAACTTCTCGATTTTAGGGCGCGAATGTGGGATCAATGGAATCCCATCGTACCAGATTCGGTCAAAGTTGGTCCAGAGATCCCGGATGCGGGTGGCGAGAATGATCAACCGCGGCCTGATGCTAATGCTGGCCAATACTCTTGATTCTACAACTTCGACGAGTGATGTCTATTTTTATTATTATTTTCGTTTGTCGTAATGCTTATCGGGACTGGCCATCGGTGGCTTTGAGTTCTGCCGCGGGGCGGTTTGTATTCGAATGATATAATATTTATGAAATATTTTCTAAGTATGGAATCGGTGTTTCGTTTAGATTTTGAGGGAAAAGTACGAGTTGTCGTCTCGTATCTAACTCTTTGTGTAGATCGTCCGGTTCGTTTACTTGGAATGTTTTGATTTTTCCGAGTGCTTAGATGTGGGCGAAGAGACATGCGTTTAGGATCTCATTTCGTGCCTTGAGACGTAAGAGACCAGTGTACTGGGTTTAGGGAATGACCTAGGTTTACTTTCGTATTAAGGTTGTGCGATGACTAGTCGGCTTTCGTTTTGCATGTTGCGATTGTAACCTGATTTCGTATTGATTTAAAGTCCGCAATATGTTCTCGGCTTATACGACTGGTCTGATCGAAATCGAGCATCCCCGAAGGTGCTGACCAAAATTTCGGATTTCTTTTATAGCGCGCTATTTATCCTATTCGGATGTATGCGGACCAATGCGTCTGTGCGTTTGTTTAGGACGGCTCGCGTGCTCGACAGGGTCAATCGTCGAGCGTTTGTCATTTTATAGTCGCGGATGGACTTTGCGGAATATGTCTCTAAGACTTTAGGCGACGTCTCGCCGGTTCTTTTCGAAATATTTTGGTGTGTAAGTTTTTAGTCGAAACGACCAAGTGGTTTTGCTGCGGAATTAATTTCTGGATGTTTCGAATTCGTTTTTGTGTTTGATAGTAGAGAGATTTTGTTCTAACTTTGTCTTTATTAAAAAGTTTCGAAATTTTCGATTACAAAGCGAATATTTAAATTTTTGGGAGTATACAAATACACGTATACGCACCCCCCTCCCCGCGCCCCTTTTGGAAAGGGGGATAGCTGAACTCGTCTTTAGGCGAACTGCCTACGTATTCCTTTCGGAAATCAAGCCATCTCGTAGTTCTGATTGTTGGTGCGAGTGTGTTTACTCGGCTATTGCAGACTTCTCGATCGCTTTAGTCGCTGGATCGCTGTCTTGGTTCGAGATTGTCTCCTCCTGTAGGGTAGAAGCGATGGGTTCGAGGGCTTGCTGCTTCTCGACTGTTGCTGATTTGGTATCGTTTCCCGTGGTAGGCGGTATTAACTTCGCCCGTTTTGGTTTCACGATTGCGATTGCCATCTGCCTTAGCTAGTGTTCAGATAGAAAGCATGATCGCGATTTCCTCTGGCATCACCAAATTGCCGCGACGCCCGCAGGGGTCGGAAATTTGATGCCTAAGTGGTATGTCGATAGGACCGCCTTCATGGAGTTTATCCAAGGCGTGCCTAAGCTAAATCTATCACGCTTTAATTGTAACACTGGACGACTTAGTAGACGACTTATAATTAAGTTGTCTGAAAAGTCTTCCAGCTGGAAGACTTATAATTAAGTCGTTCAGCAGGAAAACTTTCCAGACGACTTAATTATAAGTCTTCCAGTAGAAAATTTTAAAACGGACCTGATAATTCGAAGAAGAAGTAGTCGCCTTCGCCATAGTGATTATAGATCTGCAAAAATATACGTGAAAAATAAGCGCGGTGAGAATGAGTATATAAATTGATAGAGACAATGTTTTATTATCTTCATCTTTTCCTCAATCAATCACTCGACGGTAAGAGATATAATAATAGGAGATATAACTTCCGGCGATATGGTTTACGGAGAAACGACGCTAGGGTTTCCTCCCAGATCTGAAATAGAGGAAGCGGCGGTGAGAACGGTGAGAACGATGGTGGGACAGATAACCGGTGGTGAGAACGATGGTTTGTTCGGAAATCGTCGGAAATCACCTTCGCCTTTGGGAGAAACGGCTTTTGGGTTTTCTAAATTTCGCGAAAAAGTGAATAGAAAAACATTTTATATATCCGGTAAATAATACGGTTAGGTTTAAAAGTACATTGTTAAAATTAAAGGTTCGGTCCGGTTTGGATGACTTACTAGTAAGTCGTTTGCCGGATAATGTACATTAGACGACTTTATAGTTAGTCTAAACTGAACCCTACATAAATTAACTAAATTAACTAACTAACCATGTTATAAAATCAAGTTGTACTTAAATATCGTTTACTATACACAGAAATAAATACACTTAGGTAAATTTTAATTTTTTCAAAAACGTTTTTAATGTTTTTCAAAATCTACCCTGAGAACACATACAATACTACAACATATGTTGGTGAAACCTAAACAAAAAAATGTCATGATTTACTACTTTCACTCATTTATGTTGAAAACAATTGACTTTTGTTATATATTAATTTATATCTCTTAAAACATAAGTTAATTATATAATTTCAATTTTTCTCTAATAAAAATATTTTTTACAAAATTTTAAAATTATTTTTAAGAATAACTGTCTTAGACGACTTGCGGCGGCAAAAAACATAGAAAACAAATTCCATTTTTCTATTTGTTCACAAGAGGCTGGTTGTAATTTCAATAGTTTTTTAAGTTACTTCTACATTTGATTCAAGTTTGAGTATAATTTCGCATCAAATTTCGAGTCATATTTGACAAATTTTACAACTAAATAAAGTGATATTATATTTTTTAAAAACATTTATTAATTTATACTATATTTTTAGCTTGTGTTTATTATGTTCACCGTAAGGAAACAATAACCATTATAATTAAATAATTTAAATTTATTTTAAATATAGTTACAAAATCTATAAATAAATTAACATACAAAAAATATATTTAATTTATTATAAATGCAATTGTTAGTTGTGTTAAAAAGTCAACTATTCATATTTCCAAATAATTCTAACTTATTATGCTATCAATGTGTCCAAACAATACAAAAGATACTTTAGTTTTGAGTTTTAATAATATCGTTAAAACATCAACACATTGAAAAACATTTTATCTTCTAACATTTAGACCGTAACACTTTTCTTCTCATTCTTCTTTTTATTCATTTTCTTATTCTTCACATCATCCTTCACATGGATAACATCCATACGACTCAGCTGAAGTTGAAACGCAGGAACAATCTTGCTTCCACAGCTGCAAAAACTTCCCAACCAATTAAAACTTCCAAGTCTACCTTTACATTTCGGACACAATAACTTTCCTTCCGGCATATCATCTTCCACAACTAGCATAGCAAGAGAAAATCAGTCTAATCAAGAAACATATATAGACATCCAATACGTTAGGCCTGGACATTTGGACATTTTACACGGACCCGAAAATCTGAACCAGGATCAACCAGGAAAAGCCAACCGATCGGTACAGATAATGTCATTTTACCCTATTTACTTATTTAGTCTTGTTGTGGAGGACCCGACTCGAATGCATTTGTTCTAAAATCTACCAAACAATGGAAATATTTGTTTAATCAGATATGCTAAAATCTGCAGTTACAATGGTATTGTATTTCGTATATGTGTATAATTGTTTAATGTTTATATTGTAAGTTTTATTTTAATTTTTAAATGTGTTTCTTTATGTTTCAGGAGAGTTGCAAGTCTTCAATGCATTTGGTTCTTCTTTGGTTTTGATAAATGGAAAATTGCCTAAATGCTAAGTTTTGGTGGTGAGAGTTCTGAAAATCGTCTCCTGCTTCTACCTGTGGCCTTCTGCTTATATACTCCTCTCTTAGGCGGTTTGTCCTTCCTTTTTCGCCATGATTCGAGTTTATCGGAAATCTTCCATTTATCTCGATCTTTCCATTTATTCTCAGAAATCCTCCATAAATCTTCAGAAATCTTCTATTTATCTCCAGACTTGATATTTATCTTCTATTTACGAGTAAATGGTTTAACCGTCATTGCATCCTTGGGTTGGATTTCACGTAAACCGTAGATGGACTTTTATCGCGATTTAGGGCTTTCGGGACAGTTTTGCGGTAAAAGTCGTTTAACGATTCTCTGACGAGACCGTTTCCTAATGCAATGACGTTCTCGTAATATGGACTCAAGATAACTATGTAGTCTAGACAATATACGATGTTTTGTCCAATCGTTGCCGTTTTATACGATTTACTCGAGCTTTTACGAGAAAACAAGATTTTACGGTTTTCACCGTAAAACTCGATTGGTAAAACGGATCAAGATGAAACCAGAGACCTTTCGACCATGGTTCAGAGTACGGTTGGAATCAAAAGACGGACGTTTTGTGTTGGGAATGCGCGGAAGAAGGTTCAGGACGGACTGACGGCTAGACGGCCAGCACGCCGTGCGGTGAGCAGGTTCACGACAACCAGCACGCCGTGCGGCGAGCTGGTTCACGACAACCAGCTCGCCGTGCGGCGAGCTGAACCAGCTCGTTCAGCTAACCGCACGGCGAGCTAGTTTGGCCGTACCAGCTCACCGTACGGCGAGCTGAACCGGCTGGTTCAGTCCATCGTACGTCAAACTGGTTCGGTCGAGCCATGCTCGTAATGCGGTTTTTTTGTGGTTTTTTGTTTTTTCTTGGATGATCGTGTAATCGGAGATTGTTTAGTTTGTTTTTCCGAAACGATGATTCCCAAGTCTCTATGTGGATTTCCTTTGTTCGGAAAGTCCTTAAGTTTTATAAAACGAATTCTCGTGACTTTATAAAACGTAACTTTGTTTTGCAGAGACTTTTGGTCATTGATTTCATCGTACCGATTCTGACCCAAACATGAGTCGCAATAGGCGTGGAAGTTTTTCTTATTTTCAAACTGTGGGCTAATCGTAATCCTGCAATAAGGGCCTCGTATTCGGCGTCATTATTCGATGCGTGGAACTCCAATCTAAACGATTGTTCGAGGATTTCTCCGGTTGGCGATGTAAGGCGGATGTCGATACCAGATCCTTGCTTAGAAGATTATCTATCAACGTGAAGGAGCCAAGTCCAATTTGGCTCTTCGTTGGTTATGGCTTTTGTTGGTAGTTCCACCAGAAAATCTGCGAGTACTTGGGACTTCGCACTTGTACCTAGGACGATAATCTATATTGTATTCGCTGAACTCGAGGGCCCATTTGGCTAGTCTTTCCGACTGGCTTGGACTATGCAAGATAGTTCGGAGAGGGAAAGTCGTGAGGATGACGATGGTGTGGGATTGAAAATATGGCCGAAGCTTTCGTGCTGACGTTGCGACTGCGCATGCTAATTTTTCAATCAGAGGATACTGTGTTTCTGCATCTAACGAAGTTTTGCTTACGAAGAAAATTGTTTTTGTTCTCCGCGCTCTTCCCTGATCAGGAAGCCGCTTACAGCCGTTGCTGATACTGATATATATAAAAATAGGGGTTCCCCTTCCACGGGTTTTGCGAGAATTGGAGGAGTCGCCAGATAGTGCTTCAGCTGTTTGAAAGCATTCTTGCATTCGTCCGACCACTCAAACCTTTTGTTCCCTTGCAGGACATCGTAGAAAGGTAAGCACTTATCCGTTGAGTGGGATATGAACCGGTTGAGTGCTGCGACTCTTCCGGTCAACCTTTGCACTTCTCGCTTGTTCGGGATGCCATCCCGATGAGTGCATCGACTTGATTGGGGTTGGCTTCGATCTCGCGATAAGTAACTAAGTAACCGAGGAATTCGCCCGATGCTACGGCACTGCACTTAGCTGGATTGAGTTTCATGTTGTGCGAATTTAACCGAGCGAAGCACTCTTCTAGATGGGTGACATGGTCGTTCGCATGGAGGGATTTGACGAGCATGTCATCGATGGAGACCTCCATAGTCTTTCCGAGTTGCTCGGAGAACATCCGATTGACGAGTTTATGATACGTCGCGCCAGCGTTCTTAAGGCCGAATGGCATTACTTTATAGCAATAAATTCTGCGATCCGTAATAAATGCAGTTTTCTGGCGATCATCGGGATTCATCATGATCTGATTGTATCGTGGGAATGCGTCCATAAAGGACAAGAGTTCGTTTCCTGCTGTTGCTTTGACTAAACGGTCAATGTGAGGCAAAGGGAAACTATCCTTTGGGCAGGCTTTGTTGAGATCAGTAAAATCGACGCATACTCGCCATTTTTCATTCTTCTTTTTGACCACGACTTTGCAAGCCAATCAGGATATCAGACTTCTTTTATGGATCCTACTTTTAGGAGTTTTTCAACTTCCTCGTTGACTGCGGTTGCCCGTTCGAGTCCTAACTTTCGCTTTTTTGCTTGATTGATTTGAACGATGGATCGAGATTCAATTCATGACAGGTCATGTTAATGTTGATTCCTGTCATATCCTCTGCAGCCCATGCGAAAGTATGGATATTCTTCTTTAGACAAGCTATGAGTTTTGTCTTCAGGGGATCGCGGAGATTGGCTTCGGTTTCGACGCAACGTTCAGGGAATGCTTTGTCCAGACATACCGTTACCAAGGGTTCACAGGTTAGTTCGCGTTTTACTTCTAAGGCTTCTGCCTTTCGAGATTGCCAGAAGATTTCGGCCAAATCATGAGCATCTTCGTCTGGAACCGTTTTCCTAGCTTTTCTAGGAGGGGTTCCAGAGTCGGACTTCCTTCGTTTTGAGTTCCGCGGTGAAGCAGGCCCGCGATATTCTCTGATTTCCCCAAATTGTTTCGATTCCGTGGGGAGTCGGAAATTTAAGGAAAAGATGATATGTTGTGGGAATGGCTCTCGTGGAATTTATCCAAGGAGTACCCATGATCGCGTTGTACGACGCTGGACGGTCCACTACTAGGAATTTCGTGAATTATGTTGCCGTTTCGGCTATGACTGCGAAGATGACCGATCCTAAGGCGATGGTAGGTTCTCCAAAAAGCCTTACTAGTGGTTTGGGATCCTCCGTGACTCTTAACGGATCGACCTTCATCTTTGTGAGGGTTTCTTTGCCGTGAATTGTCAACTCGATAACAAGGAGGTCGTTGCGAGGTTTTGTCTGTTTGACCATAGCTCCTCCCTCGAATGAGATGTCGTCTGGAAAGTTTGAGGTTCTCATCTTGTTTCCGATTGTTGAGTGGCTTTTGCGAGTAAGATTGATCTGTGTCCCCCTCCTTCTAGCGCCAAAATGTGGGAACCAAAATTCGCACCATCAATAAATCGTATAAATAAGGAAACTAGGAAAACCCTAATTTCCCTGAGGTCCCGGATATCTAAGAAACCACACGCCAAGCAATCAGAACACGAGTAAAGATAGTAAAGCAGTAATAAATCGTAAAGAATGAGAGCAATTCCCGAATTTGCATTCTGAGCTTAACAACAAGGTAAGGTGCCTTGGCTACGAGAGCTGTCGGCGAGATTCCTAGTTCTAAAACCCAAAGGCGGCTAAACCTAATCGAGTCGCAGCTCGAATAACAAAACGGAAAAATGCCTAAATTGCTCTACGTGCTAGTTTGGTGTGTCGATGCTTTCCCTATGCCTCTCTTCCTTGAATTCCTTATATACTTCCTTCTAGGTTGGTTTGCGCCATCATCTTTTAATTTGTCCTTAAGCCATCATAGTCCAAAAAATGGAGATTTTCCATTTTTCCGATCTTCATGATTATCTGCGGAAACTTTCCATTTATCCGCGGAACCTTACATTTATCCGTTCAAGCATAACCATCTTTAGTGTTAACGGGTTATGGGTCTAAGAAATCGTAAGTGGGCCTAGAATCAAGTTTTAGGACTCTTTGGACCGTTCTTTGATTCTTGCGTTTATTACGGTTCCTTTGATAAAGACATTTTTCACGTTCTTTATCGTAAAGATGACCCATGATCCCATTTGATCGAGAATCAAGAAATGGTTAAGCCATGGTATGCGGAAGGTTGCAATAAGGATAGATGAGATTGCATCGTATCGTTATTTCGGAAGAAGTTGGGTGCTACGGAAAGACCGCGGCGTATGTACGTTTGGTCGTTATAGCGACCGATCTTGTGCTCGAGCTCGGTCGCTATAGCGACCGAGCTTCGTATGGAGCTCGGTCGTTATAGCAACCGAGCTTGTGGTTGAGCTCGGTCACTATAGCGACCAAGCTTCGTATGGAGCTCGGTCGTTATAGCGATTGCTTGGAGCTTGGAGTTGGGCTCGGTCGCTATAGCGACCGAGATTAGGCTTGAGCTCGGTCGTTATAGCGACCGAACTTGTGCTTGAGCTCGGTCGCTACAGCGACCGAGCTTGTGCTTGAGCTCGGTTGGTATAGTGACCGAGCTCGGTCATTTTAGTGACTGAGCCGAGCGTACC